ATCTATTGTATTGTGGTTTTTTATTTCTGTTCTGTTTAACTAGTTGCCTAGCATAATGATTTCAGCTGTTATACACTATCGATAGGAGGGAATTTCATGTTGCAATACTACAGGATATATTATTCCCATCACTTCTAGATCGCATTGTTAGTAGTTGCTCTGCAGCTTTGATGGATTCAAGTTCCATTGCCAACTGCAGTCTTTCCCATAAAGACGAACATCTACTTTGCTTTAGCCTAATTCTCATATCTTCATGTGGCATGGCATTTACAATTTGTTCATGTACAAAAAATTCCATCATTTCATTCACTTTACAAAGAACACCCAGTTCAGATAACTGGGAAAGTCCTTCTAATTCTTCTAAAAGTTTGGCTAAATTCTCTTCTTTCACCCATACTCTGTTCCAGATCTTTGCTCTGGATATTTTTCCTTGTGTGACACACTGAACCTCTTGGATAAGGTGGCTACAAATGTTTGATGGTTGTTATGGTACTCATCTAGAAGGTTACCTAATATTGTCAAAGCTGGTACTTTTAAACGGATGACTTGTTGTTCACCATTCCATCTCTTTACTCGGGAAATGGTTTCAAACTGAGCTTGGTATGCTTTCCATGGTACCTCCTCATTTTAGTCTGTTGGTTTCACTATTCAGTGGTGATGAACTGGCCAATCAGATGTGGGACTGGATTTGGCAGTATCGTGGCTGGAGTAGTCTAGAAAGGTCCCTCAATAATAGGTAGCACAGCAGTAATGGTAATAGGTGTAAATCAGACATGTTTTCCTATTCCATATCTGGAAATATATGGCATTTTTGCTTAGAAGTCTTGAAGAGATATAACTGGTTTAATCTTCGCATTTAATAATTCATTTCACAGATGTTTATTCTGTCACTGATGTACTTTTCTACCTCAATGATGTTCTTTTCTACTCATTAATGTCTTTCTTTATTTCATCAATTTTGTAATTACAAATTTGCTGTTATTCTTCACTTGGTTATTACAGTCTCTTTGCACTTTGTAATGCCCTTTTGCATTTCTTTAAATTCATTGTTGTAATCAATCCATATGTCTCCAGTGGCTTCTTCTCTAAGTAGTAAATCTCCTTGTTTTAACTCCTCTCTCAAATTCCTACCGTGTTCTTTGTGATCTTTTTTAAAAGTCTTCCTTTAATTCTTTTATTTATTTATTCTAATTTTCTGTCACGATTTTCCTAGTCTTCTTTTATTTTTAAATCCCTATATTTTTGGTCTTCTTTGAACTTTCTGCCCTGTTGCGTCAGCGAGGTCACGTGACTCGTTCTCTCGAACCTTCGGGAATTGTCGGGAGATTACTAGATATAGGG